TTCCTCCATTTTTAAAAAATAGGCTCTTCACTTTAGAGAAAAACTTTGTACATGTTTTCTGTAAGGTTCCATGAGATCTACAAGAAAAAAAAGTTTCAATCCAAAATGTTTATTATTAACAGAGCTACGAATTTGTAAAGATTGCACCGATAAGAACTGGTAATGTTCTTGAGTAAATGAGGATGATGCAATCGCGGTCAGGTGACGTGTTTGGAAATCGCGTTGGCCAATCGTCGTTTTGCCCAGTAATCATTACCTAGAATCGAATCGGTGGATTTTAAGGTCACGGGGCCGCTGAATTTAATGGGAACACCGTTACGATGTCCAAGGTTGGCGAATTGTGGTGCACGCATCACTTACAGGCATGCATTGATATATTTCATTGAAATGTCTCCAATGCTGTCAACATGGTTTCTTTTTATTAAAAATGTAGCGAGTACTCTTATGATTGAAAAGAATCACGTTACCTGATGTTTTATGATATTTTAATTTTGATGCCGAATGAGTAATTGGATTTGCATTATGTTCAGCTTGAATTGCAAAGTATTCCTCAAAATACTGTAAAATTTTCTTTTTTAAATCTCCACTATGAATAGAGTTATAATTTTGATTCTTTTCCTCGGCATTAATATCGTGCAAAATAGAAAGATTCTGTTATATATTATATATTATATCTGTATATATGTATGCATCCGTTAACCAATTAATTGATTAATTGTGAACGCACGCGAAGAACACGAGATATCAACGGGCGAGGCGAAGAGACGTTCGCGAAGCAGAATAGAGGGGAAGGAAAAGCGTTCGCCATACTTTGGGCGTGGACTGTTGAACATTAAGCTCTTTCATTGGACGAGAGATCGACCTGGTGCAACGACTTGCACGCGCCAGCCCAGTAAGCATTTTTCCTCAATTCCCAGTCAATTATCGCATCAACTGGAGAGGCTGCACCGCGCAGGAACTTCGACGACCCCAACTGCAACCCTTTAGGAGCGCTTCTGCCCCTTTTTTTATTAACTTATTGTCGCAAGAAATTTTTGGGAAATATCATTGGTTATCACGTAAGCTTATATTCTTCAATCTATTAGATTGATTCACATTATTTACAAATACAAAGGAATTGTTAATACTTGTATAATGTAGATAAAAGAGGTACGAATCTGTGAGTGAAGCTTCTAGATTTTAAGAAACAATTAATTACTGTTTTTACAACGGATTCCAATAAATAGCAAATAATTTATTAAGGATATTGTACTGTGTTGCAGGTTACGTAGTGAATACTAGGAATGTGTTTGTATTTTCGAGGAGAACATTAGGCGAATAGGTCCTTCTCACGAGGTGGCTGTTGAAAGCCGAGTCGCTCAAGTAAATAAACAGAAGGAGTTTCCCAGGGATCGATCGAGACCGATATAAATGCTTCCTACGTGATGCGTGGAACGATTCGGAGAAACGAACTGGCGATACGTGCCTTTGATTATGTAATACGAGACTGCGTGATTTAGGCAGGACGCTGATAACGACCACAGACTGTGTGGCTTACGTTTCTTCCGCTCCTTCAAATTGCTCGATGACCTACTAGTCATTCATTTTTAAAATATCGGATTGTCGCTTTAGAGGAAAACTTTCTATATATTTTTCGTAGGGTTGCATGCGATCTACGAGGAAAAAAAGTTTCAATCAATAATATTCTTTATTAAGAGAAATATGAGTTCTGGAAGGAGGCCAACCCTTGCGAATTCTCAAATAAGCCATTCCTCCATTTTTTAAAA